TCTTTCTTTCTTTCTTTCTTTCTTTCTTTCTTTCTTTCTTTCTTTCTCTCTTTCTTTCTTCCCCCTTTTTGGTATGTAATAAAAAAAGAAACCAAAAAACCCATTCTTGGGAGGATAAAAGTACAGTGGACGTGTGACTCCATGTATTGAATTCAACATGGACAACGTGAGAAAGGAGTAGGGAGGTGTGAGAATTGACAGCTGATAAGAGCAATCCTTCAGACTGCCTTTATGTCTCTAGTTCACTAGTAGATAAATATTACAAAGGTCAACACAGAAAACAGTACATGAGGGAAACACAACATGTTAAGGGCAGCTCTCTTTAATAGATTCTTACAGAATCAATGGGAAAGGAATACTGTTGACTCCGCAAGCTTGCCAGGCACCGAGTGGTGTACTTACCCAAAGTCACATATATAATTTTGATGGCACTACAATTATATCTATATGACAGCCTCTGATGCAGTCTTGCAATCTGGGTTTGAAATGTAGCCCTGTTATGTTGTTGACTGTGCATTTTGTTGCTTCCTAATCTTGAATTTAGGGGGTCAGTTCTGCCTTGCTTGAGCCCCTCAGAAGGCAGTTAGAATTCTCTCCTTGGGTCAGTGGAGGAAAAGTTCCCTGTGGATATTTTCCTAGGAGAGTAAGAAAAGCTATCACCTCTCTCTGGACCGCTGGCCAGGGTGACCTCTCAAAAGATGACAAGGGGCCTCAGAATCATCTCATTCTGGTAATTCTAGCTATTTATCTGGGATCTCTTGATTGCTACACTATGTATCCTGTAAAGGTGCATACAGCTGTCAAGCCTGCCATTTCAGCCTAGCTGAGTGCCATGGCTGACTTAACTATTTCAAGTGAAACCAGAAGGGGACTCTGTGAGGGGAGTAAGGAGAAGACATGTGATGGGGGACCAGAGTGGTGCATATGAGCACTGCACAGTGATACACATACATGGTAAATGTCACAAGAAACATATTTTGTATGATTATTAAAATATTTGCGAACAAGAAAAACAACAAGAACTATTTCAATAGCTTTCTGGATCCCACACGCTTCCACTGAAGTCTGGTTCCTGTTGACTCTCTGAGCAGTCATTTCTCCTTATTCT